TGACACTGAATGCAAGAATAATATCAATAGACCACCAAACCTTCAACAGCTGTTAAACATACATGAATTAATAATGAATGTACTATATTATAGTTGCAAATAAAATAAATAGTAAGATAGAAGGTACCCACCTCTTAGCATGTAATCCCAGAGTGCTCCTACACAATGCCGCATCCATTCCAATCTTCCAGCTAAAATCCAACCTTAATCCGCTTGAAAAGCATTATAATTCCAATGAAAATTTATCCAAATCACTTAATCACAAAGGGCAAACGACGATCGATAACGGAATCTCTTTTTCCAGCTAAAGAATTTCCACGTCACTCTTAAATTTTCACATCCACATCATCACCCGGAACACTCCGCATCCGCACTCTTCCTTCTATTTATTTTCCAACTCGGTAATCTTGTGCTTATCAAGATTGGCAATTTTTTTCCACTCCGTTCACACTCACATAACACTATCAGCTTTGCACGAATCGTTCTGCACCCGCTGCTTCTAATCCAAATCCACGCCGGACGGCAGCTGAAATAATAATCTCCAGCAGCAGAATCCCACGATGCCAGACAGCAGCGGCAGACATGGAGCAACACGAAATTTTCATTCACTCGAAATCCTACCGAAACGAGACCAGAATCACGGTAAAATACTAGCTTCCGAATCGCGACACTTTAGTCTATCTTTTCCGCACATTTTTCTAGAGAATCGCACGTTTTTAATCAGCCAAAAATGCTATTTTTCTTCCGTTAAACAGAATTTGCTCACGACGAGAAAATTGATGTGCGATTTTAATCAATGCGCGAGCACACACAGCGAAGGCGTCGGAGCGGCGAAAAAAACACACGTTCGGCCGATCGATAACGCGAAAATGAAGCTGACAGCCGACACAACAAAACCGACGAAGAAAGGAAAACACACAAAAAGAGAGAAAGGCGAGCGAAAGAGAGTGGAAAGGGAACACGACCAAAACAAGACTGACGGTGAGCAGTGAGAAGGGATGGTTTCTTGAAATGTAACTTTGCGTGGTAAATTTGCTTGTTATAAATGTGATTCTTATCAGAATTTTTGGTGTTTGCATTAGGCCCAAGATGATTCCAGTTTGCAGGTTGTCTTATTTACGAAGTAAGTGCAAAATTGATGGAAGTCATTTTTAGAGGGACAACACTTGACTAGAGATTCAGTTTTATATTGGAATTTTTTTTAAGGGAAAAACACGTAGGATTCCCGAGGAGATTCCTGGAACTGCTTATAAACAAAATAAAAACTGTCAAAACCGCTGTTCAATATTTTCCGTACAGTTGAAAACCGGAATAACCCTCCAGCGGCAATTAATTTTACTCTCGTTCTGTACATTGAACATAGTGTCGGAAGTAGTGCACTGTATAGTGCATCATTGTGCGATTACAGCGCACTACTTTCGCACTATGATTATTAACATATTAATAGAACGAGAGTAAAATCGACTGGCACTAGTGGGTTATTCTGGTTTTCTTTGTTTTTTTTTAATCATTCGTTTATTTTTTAGGCTCAAATGTCGTTAAACTTTACGGAGCCGCGGTCTATCAAAATACAATAAATTATAGTTAAAATACATTATTGGGGCCTATTACGGATGTCACTTCACGGTGAAAACTTGTCACTGGTCGTCACGGTGAAGTGATTCCCATTTGATTTGTACGGCAATCACGGCTCTTATTCAGAGTATCACTTCCTAATCACCGTGTAGTGACACCCGTAATAAGCTGGGTACTGCGAACACAGCCGTTTTTGTTTTGCAAGTCAGCAGGAAACAACTTGAAAATTTTCCGATATCACAAATTGTTTTGCTAATGCACTGCTCACAATTTGCATATACATGCTGTCGAAAGTTCACCCTTTGCTCCAAAAATAACGTGTACATGGTGTTGGGAGTGCACCTACCCACATGACTCTTATAAAGTTTGTTTGCATTCTTCGTTCAGCAGTTCGTGCAGGTTCGTTCGTTCGTTACATTGTTTACATCCGAGTATTTGAGCAAGTTTTTTGTTGAAGAATATTAGTAAAAAAATGCCGAAATGACAATATTTTCAACATTGACCACAATACTTTCTCTGCCGACGGGGATTGTATGAGAAAAGTATCACTTTTAGCAGCTCTAGATCGTTGGATTCTTTTTGACAGCACCAGTTGGATTCTTTTTGACAACCATTTCGTGTTTCTCCGCACCACTCAGGTAATAAGGCCCTATTTTCTTTTTCTTATTTTCAATTTGCTCTAAATAGATGGCATCAATCCTCTTCTTGCTTTCCTCGATCAATGCACACCGTTCTTAAGGATCGTAAATATGCGAAAGATCTGGGATCGTATATGGGCGCTGCGTATATGAACAAATATCACCACTCACAGAGATCAGGCTGCTATCACTTTCGCTTGAGTTATTTGCGTTAAATTTTTTTCTTTCATTGTTTGTGGTGTCCGAGTCACCTGATTGCTAGCGTTTCATTTCGGTTTTGTTGTTTTGCTGTTGGTGTGCATTTGGTATCGATTTCGGGAAAGCGGACCACTGCTTACTGTTGGCTGCGTTTGATGGGAGTTTGTGTGCGTTGTTGTTGTTCTTGTTCATGCTGTTAACGTAGTTGTTGTTGGTGCTGCTACTGAGAGTATTGTCTTTGTTTGCTGCTGCTGCTGCAGCCACATCGGAGCAACATTACTTTGGGTGAGATTTGCGCTCACAATTGCGACATATCTTCACTTGGTTTTAGTATGAAACCAGTGTAATTTCGCCACCCACGGTGATAAATGACGGAATGTGAAGGATTAGTCTCATTTTTAAAACACGCACTCCACTGCTGAAGCCTGGAAAATAACTATTCCAAACCTCACTGCGAATTACTATCACCTCTCCATACTGACGCATATGGTCGATGATAGCCACATTTGAGACACACATACTTCTCATATGTAAAGCACATGATCCTTATGTGTTGGTTATAAAATTTATGTGTGAAGTGTTTTATGAAAACTATGTGTGAAATCACATAAATAAAACCTTTGCTGTTTTATCAGTGTACTTCGTTACTTTGCATACCCAGGTATACAACGTTTTTCACATTGTGTGGCTGGATGCATTTCATCTGTGACATATCAAGTTGCAGTTCACTTTCTAGAAATCGTTTGATTTCCGAAATACGGCCGCTTACACGGATAAAAATCTCCTTATACCTTTTGGCAAATTTCTATTGCTGATTATTCATAAAATGTATAAGTCAACTAATAAGCAGACGCCTTGCAAAAAGTTAATGAAGATCATGTGTCAAATGAACTGTATAAGCGGTCACACATACCTTCTATGCATTCTTATAGGACCTATGTGGTTTGTCTTTTGGAAAGTATAAGGCTGATGTATTGGCAAAAATGTATAAGTGAATCACATGAATAAAATAATTGATTTTCGTTTCGTGTAGGCAGAATGGATGTATCCAAAACGACACAGTTTTCTCGCAAAGCCCGCATGGCTATGGGAAACAAAACTCACGCGCGTCACACAAAAGAAATCCGAGAATGGCATTATACCACCGACGAACCGACGTAAGAAAGTAGAAGAAAGAAAGAAGAAGAAAGAACCGACGTAACAGCTCATACAAGCTACTTTCAAATTCGTGCCCAAGACGCCATATTTAAAATATGTTAAACACTACCGACATCTACTCATCCGATCGCATCATACCTTGAGCAAGGCCACGAACCCACGTATAATTTACATTGCCTTCGTTTGCGTTTCACCTCGTTTGACAGACCTGATCGCCCGTTTGAAAGTTCGAATAGCTCCTTTGACAATTTAAATTATGGACAAACGAAATGCTCCTGTGGCATGTCGGTTCGTCGGTGATTATATCATAGAGGTAACTCTAAGACTAGTAGGTTCCGAAGAAACGAGCTCAACTTTTTGTACGTTTTGAGGTACTTGATTAAAGGAGTACAACCAACAATCAATACGAAACTAACGATTTTAAATTGGCTCACCACTTTAGTAGCCTATTGGTCCCAAGCAAACGATTAACGTACCCTATTCTAGTTGAAATTCTATTACTACGTTATGTTTGTTTTGATTCGCTATCAAAGTTTGACAGATAACATCAGGGGTGTGTGGATTCATGCAGAACATGCAGGGGTGAGTGAAATAGCTTGGGACTGCTTGGGACCGTTGTTCTGGTACTGAGTGAGCCAAAAATAATAATGATTTTCTTCGGGACCCAGTGGTCTTAGAGTTACCTCTATGGTACAACGGTACTAATTTGTATGTCTGTCTGTGGTATAAATCCCGAACACGTAAAATTTCCACCTGATACGCGAAGATGACGTCACTTTTATAATTAAAACCCTAATGAATATTTTTAACACATTGTTAGGACTAAAATATATTTTTTCAATGAATAAAAAGTACCCGCTTTTATATTTTTGAAAGTACCCATTTTTTGACAACTTAGAATAAATTCAAAAAATGAGTACAAAAAACGCATTTAAAGGGTACTTTTGTGCTAGCGTGCATAGTCATCTTCTACTTCTTCAGGTTCGCTCACCACCTAGAATGAACGCTCGGTGCACCATAGATTTGATATGGTTATTGTAATATCAAATATTGTTACATGATTGGAAGTTAGTTTGACACCTATTCCAAAAATTCTGCAGCGAGTACGAGTTTCCCCTCGCGTTAAATACGCGGAACTACCCCCCAAATAAACAAATACCATAAACGAACTTTATCCCGAATAGGTAAACTATCCCACAAATGGTTTGGATGATACCCCGAACACGTCGTTAAGCTCTTTTTTTATGGTTATTTTTATTAGGGCCACCTTAAAGGCACGTAGTAATCATACTTTGCCCCAATGCACTCTGTAATACAACCTAAGCATAAAATATGCTCTCTTCTCACCCAAGTGAAGGTCCCACGCTCACAACATCCCTTCTCACTGAGCTATGCTTTTTCCAACTATTTTATGCTGCTGCCACGAAAAACGAACGAGTTTGTTTGTTGTTGCGCCGTTCGGTTGTCATAAGCAAGCAGATTTTATCCTTCGAATATCTTTACTTTTCTGACTGCAACTGACCATTTGGGTTAGAAGATTTTGTTATTTGCATAGCGGAAAATGCGGCTGTTGGAAAAATGGTAAATTTACGACCGGATATGTTTTGTTTATTGGTGTTTTGTGCAGTCTAAAAATTATGCAAATCCGAACGAAACAGAGTGACGTCAGAGTTTTTCCTTCGTGTGGGAACGAAGCGAAGTGTTGATTGATTGATAGCTTGTTTGTGTGTTCGGCTAGGATTCGCAAGCTGCTGGTACTACAATCCTATTGAATCGGATGCTGTTTCATTGCCACACATACCACTAAAGCGCCGTTGTTTTGTTTTTGTGTAGTGCGTTGAACTCCCTGCTAGGAAAATACTACAACAACCGTTATTAGCATATCCTTGGCTGAGCTTGACTTCTGCAGGTGAGCATGATATTCATTGAAGAATGTTTTTTTTTGTTCATGTCTTCCATTATTAGGCACACAACAGAGAAACATACAAAACAAAATAATACCACAATACCAACAGAAAATAAAGAGATGATCATCCAATCATGTCCTCCAAGTTACCAATTCGTAAAAATATTGAGCCGCTGTTCAGGATCGTTTCCGATTTGGACAAAACATCGATCATGTCCTCTTCCCCAGTTCCAACTGGCATTGTTGATGACTTTGAAGATGACACTAAAACAGAACACTACCGCTTCCGGCGAAAAATTCACAAGTCCCGAATACCGGGACCAGCCCGCACATACGTCGGTAAAGTTGTGAGTCGTTGCAATAGTGCCGACGATTTGCTGGCGGGAAATGACCGGGATTTCAAAGGTCGAAAAGATCCCATCGATCGGTTGGAGAGAACCGTACGAGCGAAAGATCATCAGATTTCCAAGTTGATGCAGAAGATCACCACTTTGTTCGAGTGTAACAATCAGTTTGCGATCGAGAATGAAAAGCTACAGAAGGAATACCAACAGATTCAGCAGAACCTGAAAGCCTTGGAATCAGTGCAGCCGAAGAGCTGCGAAACATGTGGACAGTTTGAAAATGAGCGCGAAACGCTCGCCAAGGAGAACGGTGATTTGAGGAACGATATCAAAATGATGAAAATTTTGGTCTACCGGTTGAACGTGCAAGTCGAACGGTATCAGGATGTGATTCGGGAAGGCAGCAAGGGAATGGCGGTGGGCGACATTCCGAAGATTGACTTCGTCGATAGTTCTTACGGAGGAACGAAGGACAATCTAAACTGGGGTCCGGTGAATTCACACACGCTGGGACCGTTGCTGAACGCGTATGAAGAGACGATTGCGGAAAAGAACGATTTGGTTCAGCAATACGAACGCGAGTTGGTCAGTTTTACTGGAAAACTAAAGCAGGTGCTGGAGGAAAACGAGAAGCTGCACAAGAGCGCGGAAGAGATTAAGAGCACCCAGAGCAATTGGTTCTCCGAACGGGCGCGACTTCAAGCGCAGGTAGATGTGTTTAAAACTAAAGCGGAAATTCAAGGGAAACGTGCAGATTTGGCAAAGGAAAAGCTGGTGGAGGTTCTAAAGTGCTACGAGCAGAAAAGTTAGTGAATTTGCTGATACAGTGTCATAATTCTGAGCAGCGTTTTGTCAACATTTGCAGTATATTGTGGTTTTTTTTCTATTTTTTTTGTTCAACCTATACACAAATACCATCAATTAACCAGTGTCCGTTCGTTTATGCCCGATATACCGCTCACTTAAATAAGAAAGGGCTATTTTTCGGATCAATTGCAATAGGTACCGTGGACCCCCGTTAATCTGAAAGACACTTCGTGCATATTAACGAGGTTCATTTTTAATTTAAATTTCTAGTAACCCTATGACCATCAGAAACGAGAGTTTGTTCCTGGTAGCCTTAATAGCTGCTTTGTTTTGATTCTGCGTTCCGTTTCTCATCGTTCAATTTGGCTTTACTCCATTCCATGTGCTAAATGACGTTTGAGCCATTTTAAGTTTGCACGGCGCGCAGATTAGCGGGGTTCAAACTAAAAAGTGTTCAGATTAAACACGGTAAGATTACCGGGGGCCCACGGTATATTAATTTGTATACATACTTACACGTTCAAAACCCTTAACTTTCATTGGTTATTATTATTTTTGCTGAAATTTGTCTGTTTACTGAGAAAAACGTCCTTTTCAGTTGCATGATCGACAAAAAATTCTAATGAGCGGCGCCGGTGGTGTAGTGGTAAGCGTGATTACCTCTCACCCCAGCAGGCCTGGGTTCAATCCCAGTCGGCGCCGCCGGGATGTTCTGAGGCATAACATCTGTAATCACGCCTTCCTTCGGAAGGGAAGTAAAGCCGTTGGTCCCCGGTTCATTAGTTGATGGGTCGATAGGTAGGGTCCAGGTGTGGGAGCTGCCTTCCTGGCGTCGGTAGCATTGGTGCTCAGCACGGAAAACAAGATCGACGGAAAACAAATCCAAGGAAAAAAAAAAAAAAAATTCTGATGTCACGCGTTGTTATTGTTTTGTCTAATGTGTCGGCTTTTGAAATTTAAATCTACATTGTTGGTTGGAAATGCTAACATGAAGCTTTAGTGTGATAATTTATTAGCTAGAGAATGATCTTTTTAGAAGAGAGTAGGTGGATAGTTCCGTTAGAGTACGGCAGTATGAAAATTGAATAGAAGTTGAAAATGAGCGAAGGGCCATTAATGCGACAATTTTTAAAGATAGACGCACATCTTTTGCCTTACCTGTACGATGTACGCGGAGACTTGAAGTATGTCTCCAAGTCTACAGGCAAAAAATGTGCGTCCCTCTTTTTTGCCTGTAGACTTGGAGACATACTTCAAGTCTCCACGTACATCGTACAGGTAAGGCAAAAGATGTGCGTCTATCTTTAAAAATTGTCGCATTAATGGCCCTTCGCTCATTTTCAACTTCTATTCAATTTTCATACTGCCGTACTCTAACGGAACTATCCACCTACTCTCTTCTAAAAAGATCATTCTCTAGCTAATAAATTATCACACTAAAGCTTCATGTTAGCATTTCCAACCAACTCTGAAAATCGCTAACTTCGCGTATGAAGTAACATAAAAACACTTTGAATGTAAATCTACATTGTTTTTATGGTTTTCTGGCTTAAATCAGCACAGGTTGATAAATTTGAATGTAGTATGCATGCCTCAAACAAAGTTTCTTGAGAAACACAGTGCTTTTACTTGTTTCAAATTCAAAATTTGTTGAGCGGTTTTTGGTACACTGCCAATTTCATGAGTATCAATTACCGCTCATTACAACATCCTTTTCATTAGGTCTTGTTTAGGATTAACTTAACTGTAAAGGGCTGTAGTTTGGCTTTTCCCGCGATTTTTTAAACTTTAACATTGTCTTAAATGAGCGGAAATTGCTACTCTGTTGGTACACAGTCATAATTATGTTGGAATTTGTTTAAACTGCTGAGAAATAGGCCTTAAATGTGCAGAATTGTGGCACTTTATGGTAGGAGCATTTACTGCAACTAAACTTATAACCTTTCAGTACAAGCGCAGTGCCTTGACATCGAACGTCTTCAAGAAGCTTATTCTCGTTCTAAAGGTGAGCTCACCTCGCTGAGGAATCTTAATCAGAAACCGGAAGTTGTGGTTGAAAGTATGAGGGAATGTCAAAAGTAGGTATGGTAAATATTGAATTTCCTACTCACAATTAACCTCGCTTCATTAACAGATTGTTCGAGGAGATGAAACTTCAACATGACTCGGAAAAGTCACGTGTAAATGAAGAAATTGAATCACTGAAAGCAGGCATTCAGGCAAAGAATCAGGAGATTTCTGAACTTAAACTGAAAGCTGCCGAGCAGGAGAAGGTCTTCGAACGTCAAAAGGAAATCAATGAGTGAGTTAAACCAACAACAAAAATTGCTGCAACAACACATTGAAACACATTTTCTCAAATTCTCAGAATCCTCATGGAGAAGAATGCCGCGCTGAAGCAATCGCTCCAGCATTGTAGACAATCAAAGGAAGTACTCAAGACACGGCTGAAACATGTGGTCACTTGGGGCAAAGGCGTAGAGCAACGACGGGACCAGCTGACCGATGCCTGGCACAATGTGAAAGCGCTGCAGGAAAAGATCCGACAGAGGGACGAACAACTGCACGCCCTGCAGGTACAGTATCGCTCCGAGGTGGAACAACTGCAGCGAAGGTTGAAACAACGGGAGGACAGCTTGAGAAGGATACTTGAGGAAAAGGCTCAGTTCAGGCAAGGTTAGCGTTGAAGGCGTTGGTTGATGGCGGCGGAACGGTAATTATGGATGACAAGTACAAATAGAATGATTTTGTTTAGGTTTAGGTGTTGGGTTCGAGAAACGAACGGGAGCATCGAATGCACCATATTAATGTAGCATTAATTTACGCAGCTATCACGCGAAACTAGTCCAATTTGTACGCTTCAATATAATAATGTGAAATTGAAGCGGCGAAGTCTATAGCAAGTTTATTTACACTCTGATGACTGCCACTAATTTGATTTTATGTGTGGGATGGATTTGAGGGGTGGACGGACATATGGGTGATAATGTGAAGTTTACTTTAGGATAAAGTTGAAACATTGAGAAATGTATCACGTCAGTTTGAGAAGTACTTCGCAACAGATGAACCATTCTGATGGCCCACATTACCGTGCAGGCGCCGTGGGTTGGCAGGGCGAATTTTGGTCACAGAGCCACTTTCATCAAGATTTTTTTTAACTTTATGTTAGAGATGTTGAGCCGTTGGCTAGATCATCTCTTTACTTTCAGCAACAGTGGATCATATTGTTAATGCAATATATTTGATAATACGTTAACCCTTTACTTTCCACAAGGTTTTTCCTAATTTTAAAACTACAACGGGCAGCCAGGGTTGTACGCAATGGTGACATAGGGCTACGTGGTCTTATATAATAAATGTTATTTGTTAACTGCAGCAGGAGTTTGTGTTTTATGTAGGAATAGGAAATTGTGCGGGGTTCTCTCTGTTTATACTCTTTAGTATGACTAAGATTGCTCTGAAAAGAACCTTTTGATATGAATTTTAGCTGGGACCGGACAATCCCATATTCTTCGGCTTAATAATTGGGCACTCGCAAGAGTCTCGGCCCGTCTGATGCTAGACAGGTTTTGAACTGGTGTCTGCGACAGGTTAGAATGCCGCAGAATATCAGTGTCAACCCAGCTAAAGCTCCTTTCTTTTTTTGTTTTTTTTTTTTCGTTTAACTCCGTAACAATTTGGTAAATTTTAGCCGTTAGCAGAAAGACGGTTAACACTTTTTTCGACGAATTTATGATCCTGTTTCACGTCATAGATCTTTTCTATGCCTGTTCAGATAAATCAGTACTTTTATTTATTTTCTCTACTACGCTAAATCAAACGAGTAGAAATAAGAAGGGATGTCGGTTACGTGATCGAATAATTGAATATTCGATAAATATTTAATCGAATAGCTGGGAAACTCTTATTAATCGTTAATCGAATAATTGGACTTTTAGGCATTTCATGTTTTTTGGTGGTCGTTCAAAAATGTCGAACAGCAGATTTGCAACCAGCAAGTGTAACCCAAGAACTTAAAAACGGTGCGATGGTAGTTTTCATTGCTTGAATTAAGGGGCAGAGGGGTGAAAGTCAATTCTTTTCTTCGATTTCCTCTTTTGATGACCATGGCTTCACTACCCTATTTTGCACTATTTCTGCTCTGCTCTTCTATCATCCAGAACAACAAACGTATCAATGAATGTGTTTACTCTCGAGTTATTGACAAAACAGAAAATCGATGAAGAGAATCGATCAAAATAACTTGCAACCCTGCTTCGAAGTTTGGTTACAAGATTTCAACTCTAGAGAGCATTTTGTGTGGTTCTGAAGATGGCGATGATTGTGCAGAATGCTACGCAATTGCATCCTAACTATTCGCACACGCCCGAAGATCGGAGGCGAATGTCACTTCGAAATGTTCCGTCTTCTAACGACTCTCTGATGACTGTGTTGGGGAAGCAGCATATACATGTACGTAATTGATGGATTTGTTAGTTATTTAAATGCTTTTGGACAATGCTTGACATTTACCACTTTTTCAATAGTTTCTTGTTGAAAATCAACAATCTATCGATGCGTAGAAATCTTTCTAATCTATTGGTGATAAAATTATTGAAATTGGCCCAGGGGCAGCTGAGTTATTATCGTTCAAAATATTTCATAATTTCGTTACATTTTCCATTCTCGGTTTTCACAAAGTGTACCTCCTTGTAAAAATCACAGACGTAGTCCTACGTCAAAATAAAAATCTTTATTTCTTATCAAGGATTAAGCTGAAAAAATAGATTTTTTTGTTTAGTTGAAGATGCTAATTTCAAATAACAGACTAAAGTGGTAATTTTTATATGATAGATGGAGGAGATGAAAGCATAGAGTTGATAGTTCCGTTAGAGTACGGCAGTGTGAAAAATTGCATATAGATAGTAGATAGCGAACTAAGACAACTTTTAAGGAAGGTACAAATCGGTTTTTTAATCTCTCCCCCTTTGGAGAGGGATGGTGAGAGGTTTCCCGTTCATCTCTTTTTGCCAGTGGAGGCGGGGGGGGGGGACACTACTCACCATCGCTCTCCAAAGGGGGAGTTTGGTAAAGAGAGATGAAAAAACCTTCCTTAAAAGTTGTCTTAGTTCGCTATCTACTATCTATATGCAATTTTCACACTGCCGTACTCTAACGGAATTATCAACTCTATGCTTTCATCTCCTCCATTTATCGTATAAAAATTACCACTTTAGTCTGTTATTTGAAATTAGCATCTTCAACTATGTAAATCGTTGACTTCACGCAGAAGTAATACCAACAATCAATACGAAACTAACGATTTTAAATTGGCTCACCACTTTAGTAGCCTATTGGTCCCAAGCAAACGATTAACGTACCCTATTCTAGTTGAAATTCTATTACTACACTATGTTTGTTTTGATTCGCTATGAAAGTTTGACAGATAACATCAGGGGTGTGTGGATTCATGCAGAACATGCAGGGGTGAGTGAAATAGCTTGGGACTGCTTGGGACCGTTGTTCTGGTACTGAGTGAGCCAAAAATAATAATGATTTTCTTCGGGACCCAAGTGGCCTTAGAGTTACCTCTATGGTAAAAGTATGGACGTCTGTCAAAAGTTGTTCCAATCGAACCGTCAAAATGCACCGCTTTGCTCGATTGGAACAGCTTTTTTCAGTTTTGTGGTGACAGTCGTCCATACTTTTACTGTAGGGCTTTACTTTGTATGGGAGCGAGCTGTCAGTTTGTCAGTTTAGTGCCAAACAGTGAAGTTATTATTTTGCTTTAAATCCTGATTTAAAAATCGAGATGAAAGTGTGTGGGCTCGAAAAAAAATATCGCTGTGTTCAGAAAACGAACCTCTTTCAGATAATATATAAAAACCGATATTTTTTTTTCTAAATTAAAGAACCCAATTTTGTGTTATGGGTGTTGTATACAAGATACGGTAAAACGAGCAGATACCGATTTCGAACACAGCAGGTAAAATGTTGACAGGAGAGAATGGGACGGTAAAAATATTAAAGAGCCTGAATTTATTTAGGCTCTTTAAGAAATATGAGTGATCTAGTGAGAGCAAAAAGAGAAACTAAAACTTTAAATTTTGAGTGAGGAAATAAATCCAATCAGAAGTATGTGAAGAACTAGTGTTTTTAAGCAAGACCCGAAATATCCTTGATATAAAGCGTGTTAATGCGGTAGCATATATTTCAGTGACGACGAGGATAAAAGTTGGCTATACACGTGAGTAATTGAGTTGGTAAAAAAGTGCCTAAAGCGGTAAAAAAAGCTTTAATTTCTCGACAGCTTCACGGAGAGCCATTTTGTTTTGCGTCGGAATAAGAAGTGCTATCATTTTTGTTTAGTTGAATCTGAGCGAACAAAGCGAGTCGACAGTTGTATTCGCATACACACCAAGTAGGAGTCAACTGTGGTAACTCAGAAGTGATTTTGTTTTAGTTAGCAAAGCACTCGGCTGAAGGTCATTTAACTTGGCTGAGGAGTTGAGTGGATTTCCTGGAGGTCAGTGAACCTAATTAAAGGCCAGTGAACCTAGCTGGAAAAAAAAAATAATTTGTTCAACAAGAAGTTTTTGCAGCTGTATTGAATCCAATCGACGTAGTGGATTAAAATTGCTGCTGTGTTGCTGTGCTGCTGAATTCGGTTGCTGCTGGATTTAGTTGCTACTGTGCCGGTGGATTTTTGTTGCTGTTGGTTTCCGCTGGACTCGCAGTCACGAGTTGATTTTCATTTGGGCGGAAGGATTATCAAAGATTTCACATGGGGGCAGGATAGTTTGGGCGCGAGGGGCAATTCACTGCTCTTGAAAATGAATCAAAAATACTCGAATTAAAAAAATACACAAAAATTCATCATAACTCGTCATTACTAAAAAAAAATGCAAAAATACAAAATTCGGAACAAAAAATACATAGGTAAATATTCGACGAATAATAAAAATACACCATAATTCGTCATTTGCACGAAAAATTCGAAATATGTACAATCAAAATGCTGAATTCGGACAAAATGCGTATATTTTAATCCGAGCTTGAATCACAAAACAATGCATTAATGAGTAGGATTTCACCCATGTTTAAGAAAAGTGCCTTAAATCGTTTATTAAATAAAAAACATTAATGAGTAGTTGTGACCCAAAAATAAGTAACGAGTGCGTAACAGCCGTAACAGATGCTTATTAATGCGTATTTATGCGTATTAATAGAGTGAAGCGAAAAAGCAAGCGAAGCGTTGAAAAGAATGTAAGGAATAATATAAATAATGGAAACTCCCAATATAGATATTATTACTTATATTCGCTTCTTTGATTTTCTTCGCTCTCAATATGGCATCGGCTTTGGAGCGTTTGGAGATTTCGAGACTTGCTTTGCAGACTATTGACACGCAGAATCTGCAACCGGTCCGTTTAAAAACTCTTCCTGGCATTCATCGGATGTTGTAGTTCGATCTGGTGAGAAAGTTGATTGTAATTTATAGAATTTCACACAACATTACCCCCCATGCATCCATACCTTCGCAATTCTTCTCCGCCTCGAGGTAGCTCATTTCTAGGGCAGCGAGATTTTCCAGCGCTTCCTTGAACAACGCCTCTTCCATTCCATCGTTCACGAACCAGTGTACGAATGCCCGCTTCTAGTGCATCATATCGAACTTCTGATCCAGCCTGGTTCACGCTTCGGAAATTCGGACACCAGCATAGAAACCCCCGAAGGACTGGCGCTAGATCGCCATCTGCAAACATATCCGGACATATTTAATTGTTACCGACCTGTGGAAA